AGCTGAGTTAATGCATGCGTCAAAGAGATAGTGGCCTAGTTCAGTCATGCCATTAAAGGTGTTAACTCCCCCATTGGCGTGAACGTATTGCAGCGAAGAACAGTTGGCAAAGGCCTTGTAGCCGAAGTCCGCGCAGCCTGGCGCAGTTATGCTTTTAAGCCAATGACAGCCTCGAAAAGCACTTTCGTCAATGCGCACTACTGTGATTGGCAGCTTGACAATTCTTAGTTGGCGACAATTTTGCCAGGCAAGCGCCCCAACAGTGTGAATGCCTTCTTCGACGATGACATGGCGTAGTCGAGGGACTGCAAGGAACGCACCAGGTAGGATGATCCCTGCTTCACTGGCAGGGACTTTGACCGCTTTTGGATAATCCCGGTACGCGCAATCTTCAAAGCCCTCTTTGGAGTGGAAGATTTCCACGCACTCTCGAACAACCAGGGTAAAATGCTTATTCTCTTGCAGAGCGTCCCAGACTCGGTCCTGCAGACACTCCTGCATGGTTGGGTGGATAAAGTCCAATAGAGACAGTGGCCAAGTAGTCGACTATGTGTTCTTCAAAGTCTTCAAACCTGTCGAACTGAGCAATGTTTGTTGAAACAGTAACTTCATTACCTGCCATGGTGGTGAGCAGGAGCTGGCAATCCACAGTTGCTTCGCTCTCTGTCGATGTACTCGGATTAGAGGCAGGGGGAGTCTCCATCTTAATAGCAGTCTGCAAAGAGATCCGAAGCGAGTCCTCCGCTTGAGCCAGCTTAACGGTGCTAGTGCTCACTTGGCCTTTTTCTCGTTGGTTTCCTTCTTTGGCTAGCTGGAAAGGACTAAACATTTCTGGTTGAAACTTTCAGAGCCGCGTGTCTGGTATTTTTGTGTTGCCCAATCTTACGATCACTCTCCCGTTTGCCTAAGACGAGAACTAAGGCTCTCACCAAGGCACTAGGTTTGTCCATGTCCCCTATGTCAAGGTTTCTACGAACAACGACATTTCGCAGCGCACAGTGTGAGACTTTGAGCCACCTAGGACCGCCTGGCTTGATCATCTAGTGCAGCCCTTTGCGCAGTTCTTCGTCAAAAGCGTCCGAATCGACTTCTTCCTGTGGGAGCAGTTTGATCCACGATGGGCGTTTAAACTTTTCACACAACATGAAAGCGTTGTTTTCCGCATGGGGCCCTCGCCACGTGGCGGTCTCATCCAGCTTGATGAGCTGCGTGAGTTGCTCACACCCAAAGAAGGCTCTGTGGGCAAAATAGTGAAGCACAGGCGGGATTTTCACTTCCCGAAGAGAGGCGCAACAGAGAAAGGATTCTTTGCCAATGCGTCTGAGCTTTGGCGGGAGCCAAATGTCCACAAGGTTCACACTACAAGAAGGTGGACCTCCATATGGAGCTGATTTCTGTGCACAAGAGGTCCACTTGGACGAGATGCTTGCAGTTTTCGCAGGCCATGGGTCCCAGGAAATTGAAGTCGGGAGGGAGCCGTTGGCACTCAATGCCTGATCCACAAAGGCTTCCTTCTAGGGCCCGCGTAAATGCATCGTTGGACACCGCAAAGTGCACTGTTGCAAGTGCCAAGAAGCTTTCAAAAGCATAGGGCGAGATTTGAGCCCCTGGGGCGAGCTCATTCGAGGCACATGGAGGTTCACAAAGTGCTGACGAAATCTGCACATGGAGGTTCACAAAGTGTGAGAATTCAAAGTACAACAGTGCTGAGGAGCGAAGACTCCTTACCACTTGTTTAGAGACCGCAAAGAAAGTTTTTGAGGAGCGGAGACTCCCTACGACTTGTTTGAATGACGTTCGTTACCTTTTGAGGACATTGAAAGATCCCTTTCAATGTTTCCATATGTTTGTAGTTTGTGTATGAGGTGTCCGAGAACACCCGAAAATGTTTGAACTATGCTCTTAGTTGTTTCCAACTGTTTTAAGAACTTTTGTGAAGCGTTGAAGTGTTTTGAGTATGGTTTTGCGTGTCCACAAATGTCCCGAGAACATTTGTGAACCTTGGAGAACGTGCGTCACTTTGGCTCAAGTGTGCGGCGAAAAGTGTGCGTGTCTTTTGGCTGCTTTTTTCCTCCGTTTTCGACTCGGGTCGTTGTGACACTTGACTGACTAGGCAGGCGCAGCGTCTGTGGAGCTGGAAGCTGAGAACTGGCGACTTTGTAGTGCAACTTTAGTACGCGGAGCAATCTGGTGCCAAGGGGTCGGACGTACGCCGGCAGAGCGCCGGCTGGGCACCGGCGCTCTGCCGGTGGCCTTTGCGTGCTGTGTGCGGCGCTTGCTGCTTGCCAAGGGGCTGGGCACCGGCGCGCTGGCGGTAGCATTTGCGTGCTGTGCGCGGTACTTTTCTGTTAGTGATATGTAATGAACGGTTGTAGAAGGCCAACAACATATCACACTTCGAACTTGGATTTTCAGTTAATGCAATTGCCACGTTGGGA